CTCTCACAGTTGAAGTGTACCTCTGGTGCAAATTACTGACCTCTGTCATCATTTTAGGTGGGGGAACTTGCACAATCGGTGGCTGACTAAATACTTTTGCCCCACTGTATTAGTCACAGCTACACACTTCAGATCATATCTGCAAAATGTAGTTTTCAAATGTTGAAAAATGTTATCCAGGCCTGTACATCATGAAATGGAGGAAGTGAATAAAATGAATGAATCATTAATCTCATGAATTATTCTTTCCTTTTAATTTATTTCCTTTTTTTCCAGGCAAACACTTTGTGGATAAACACAGAGTCCAGCTGATCCAGAGGGTCAGCAACGTCGCACCTATTTTAGATGACCTTCTTGGCAGTGATGTTATCAGCCAGGAAAGTTATCATAGCATTATGGCTCTGCCTACCTCACAGGACAAGATGAGGACACTCTACAGTCACCTAAATACTGAAAGATGCAACGATATCTTCTATAAAATCCTTTTGGAAAATGAGAAACATCTAATCGATGAATTCAGTGCAAAGTAAAACATACAATGGTGAAAAAACCTCTTTAGCCCAAAAAATCTACCTGAGCATAGATTCTGTTGGAAATGTCAGTGTGCAAGGATTTTATAAAACGTTATTTTACACTTATATTTGGTGAGATGTTTATGGTATGTGGGACCTTTCCTGATCACTGAGCCTCTCATTCAGTTTCAAACTAGAAATGTCCCAAAATGTTCATGTAAATGTGCTGTATATCATGCAGAACAATCACTGAAAATACCAGATTTCCTTCACCTAACAAATATCAAAATGATCACAACTGTACTTTTTGTGAAGATTTATTATTTTATACATTTGAATGTGAATTAAGTTTAAATTGAAAAATCTTCCTTCACTAAGAATTTATTTTGGTGCTTCATTCAAAATGTTTTGTAATTTGAACTATTAAATAAAATCTTCATTTTTACCATAAGCAGAAGAAGACTGGTGGATATTATGAATAATTAAACTATATAATATATAATCTCCAGGTTTCCTAGTTCTTTGCTAATATGATGAAGACTGAGGATTCAGGGGTGTTTGCAGGATGTTTCAAATGTGGTAGCACAGCTGGGACAATAACATGACAGCTCATAATATTTCATCATAAATACATAGAGAGATGCAGGTTTTGTATTATGCACATATTTCAATCTGATTTTTAAAAATATATAAATAAAATAACTTGTCATCCTGCTGGAACCATCAGAAGATGGGTCCACCGTGGTCTTCCTTTTGCATTGTTAGTAAGCTACAGATGAACATGTTAAAATGCTTTCAATAGTTCCAGGTGAGCAGAAGC